TTACATTTATAATAATAATGATAAATAAACCAGCGCTGCTCAAAATTTTTATATTGAAATGAAATCACAATACATCTGCAAAGTTTATGTGTACACTGAGATTTTTTTTATTTAAATAAAGCAAAAAAGTACAAGTTTATTTTTATTGTACGATTAGTGAATAAAAATTGTTAACAATGGGAGTATTTACATATGTGTGGAATAATACAGTGCCTTACGAAATGATAGCGACCTACTGGCTGAATAGTTCCAAAATTTAGTGCGAGGAGTCCTTGCACATAGTTACACCATATTGCAAGCTCAAATTTTACATTTTCCTTATAAAAGTCCCACTTTAAAGCGTTAATAAATGATTGCACCATTGAAGCAATATGCAATAAAATTTAATGACGATTGGGAGTTTCTCCAAAACTTAATTTATAATTTAACCTTTTTTGTGCGCTGCTGAAATGAAAATTGCAAAAACTACTTAGTCAGAGCTCCAACTTAGTGCCGATTACTGGAGTGGACAGTCCAGAGAATGAGAAGCGAGTCGCAACGATTTCATCAGCAACTAACCCGCAAGAACTTAAAAAAGGCGGCAGCCCGGAAAATGTGCTTAAAGTTGTTTCAGCACAGGAGGCGCGTCACGCTACCTTTTTGGCTCTCTTCGGCGTGCTAATGTCTGAGCGCTTCAAACCCCTTTTCCATCTCTTCTCCATCCTACCGTACTTTCTGATTGGCTGCTGGCTGCCTTTTTCACCATTTCCTTCATACAGCTCGCCTTCTCGGCGCTGAAAATCGGCATTTTTCTCACCTCTCTGCAAGCTGCGAATAGCAGAAGAGATCATGGGCAAATTGGATGCACGTTGTTGCACTGATGAGGAAATTGAGGAGCTGCGCAAGGTGAGACGCCAAGGCACGATGCATTTGTAATTGTCAATACTAGCACCTTCATTGGCGCGGCGGTGCAGGGTCGCGTACCATATGACCTGTACAACGCAGTGTTGAATTGGCGTCGCTCGAATTTGGAATTCATCATTTGTAGGATTTTGGGAGTATTTCCTCATGTCCGGTCTGAGTGCGCTCGAAGCTTTAACCGATGGCTATGCACCCATCAATATTTGCATCATCAGAGCACACATGAAAATTTTGCTCATACGCATTCAAAATTTGGGTGCCGATCCGGAATGTACTTTGGCGCAGAGCTACGATGAATTGAAAATGTGCATTAGGGATCATAAGCTTCTGCTAAAGTGAGTATTATCTAAACTAGGCGAATCAATACAGTTGAGAAATGTGGATTTTCTTTGTATTGCAGTCTCTTCGACATCGTGGCGCGAATCATTTCAATTACTCCCTTTCTGCAATTCATAGTCACCGCCATTATTTTAGGTTGTACTTTGCTCAACTTATTCTTCTTTGTTGTGGACAATCCATCGCATATTGGCTCAAGTTGTTTCGTGATCGCCGTTATCATTATGGAAATCTATCCGACAACAACTATCTGGCTAATGTAATATTTCATGCATGCTGGCCGGAACAGGATGAGGAGTTTCGCAAGTTGTTAGTGGTTTTCATGCAGCACACCCAGAAGCCCATGGAGCTGTTGGCAGGTAAACTGGTGCCGGTCAATTTTGCTACTTTCGTTCGAGTGAGTAAGATTACGAAATGCTGATTCTTTCAGATTGCGAAATTTTCTTTTACAGCTTTATCAATGAGATGGGCCTCAAAGAGCGTTTCGAGTGAAATATATCAAATCTCATGGCTTTATTGCCATCTTTTTTATTAGCCAGCAAGGATATAGTTTTGACGAAACACAGCACTGAATTACATACATACGTATTTATGCACAGTAGATTATATTTCTTTAGCGCCCCAGTTCAATTAAAGTTTTAAATAAAAATAGAAGAAGCATTGCAGTTGAATCTAGTCATTCATATTTAGGAATACAGGGAAAATTTAAAAAGATAAGAACTGGAAGCTGGATGAGATTTAAATAGCCCACCTCTTCTTTCCACAGATAATCATGCCAATACCAATGGACACCAAATCAACCTTAGATTAAACTAAACTGAATCCGATAAAGACAGAGTCTCTAGAGCTTTTTGATATGGTATTATAGATGGCATCTGGCAACGGAAAGCTGGTAACTGAGTTGCTATTTTGGCAACTACATTTTTGTAGTTGTGGGGTTTAAGGGCATGCTTAGAGATGTCTCGTGTCGTGGAGTTACATTTTTTCTTGAATTGATTTAAGAAATTGTACGTACATATCATTCCATTTCTTGTGCGTCATTTTATGTGAATTTTTCGTTAATTCTAAAAATGTATTACTTTTCTTGTGTAAATGCTAGAAACAGCATGTAAAGAGCTGTTCTTACTGACAAATTGTTGCAACTTGCAAGTAAAAATGTAGTCAGTGCACCTTCCCCTAAAAATATGTTGCTTTCTCAATTTTGCCAACTTTACAAATTTCATGCAAGTTTTTGTGTAAAGTGCTGTTAGACATGGCAAGTACAAAGGTTGTCAAACTCAAGAATTTCCAAAAGAGAATGCAGGAGCAGTTACAGCTTGCACGTAAAGTGACTTTCGAACGCACTTTTTATTTCTGAAAATCAAACTTCCCGATACCACTTTTTGTCTGGTTACACTGTAAACGCAGACAAGCCCACTTTCAACTATGTTACCAGACATTTTTATGCTTATAACAAAATTAATGACCAGAAAAATTTGCTAAACCTGTTAAAATGTGCACAAAACAGTCACAAAATATATAATACTTTAATACTTAAATGCTCCATATCAATTGAATAAATTAATTACACATATTTTTCATATTTTATTCAACACACGGCAACACTTGATTGTTTTAACAGCACTTGCAGCAAAACTTAATATTGCTAGTGCAGCTAGGAATGTTCGATATCGTATCGATTTTTCTGAATATCGATATTTCATCGCACGATAATCGATTTTTTGAATCGATATTCCAAGGTCGATATACCGAAGACATCGATACTATAGCCGCAATATCGATATTTAAGTTGAAATTTATTTTTCATCTTCAAAGAATTGTATGGAAAAATACTAAAGTAGGTTTAATCAATAGCTTGTGTGATTTATTTAGCTCTTAAGTTTGACAAACCGCTTGAGTCGACCGGCATGCCGTTTTAATCCTCAGTAAATATACAAGATGGAAGTAACACAATTAGTTGAGTTGATAAGCAGGTCTAATCTTCTATTCAATTGGAAGTAGGATTTTCAACATCGATTTTTCCAATATCGATATTGTTCAGCCCGATATATCGCCATATCGATTTTACATGCAATGAATTACATCGATTCATGATATCGATACTTTCTTAAATATCGAAGATTCCTAAGTGCAGCACGAGCAAGTTGAAATTATTTCTCAAAAGGGATTTGCATAATTTCAGTTGCAGTTACATCTTGCAATTTTTAGTTCCGAAAGTGATTTGTGCAAATCTGCAAAAAGGACTTTCTAGCTAGCACCTTAAGTAAAATTGCTACGAACTCTGTATCATTAACTAGTACGTAAAAATATAGAACTCAAGGCGAATTAATATAAGGTGATAGCAGGAGTACAAAAACAAAAATTCACACGTATTTTGTTTTTGCTTTGGCGGCATAAACTGTCAAAATCTGTAAGAGTGTGTGTAGAAATTCAAATAAAATTTTTCAATTTGATGTCAGAAGCCGTGCGGCGAAACACATACACTAAATCAGCTGAGCTAGTAATACCACCTTATATAAATTCGCTTACCTGTCAGCAATCGAAGCAGCCACTATGCAAACTTAGTGATTATTTTAGATTTTTCTTTTTATTTCCTTAAGTTTCGCTAGCACCGACATTATCGTTTTAAAGCACTATTCGCGTTCCTGATTTCCGCTATGCGACGCACTCGTTCCCGCGGCAGGCAAATCTACGCTACCGGAACGGCACAGATTTATTTATAGCCAAGGACTAACACTTCAACAGCATTCCCAAACAAACATTTTGTATAATGGTGTATGCCGATACAATAACAACAAACCGACGCACCCACACGCGCGTCTCTCATTTTCACTTCCACTATCAAAACCTGCATATTTTTCTTTTTTCACCATTCGCACGTGGATTTTATCGAACGCGTTAATGCACTTGGTAACTGACTTACTTTTAATTTGTTTTTAATATTATTTACTAACGAAAAAACGCACTCTTCACCCGAAATTTACAACTAAAAAAGCGCGTGCCCGACGCTTGCGATCGAATGAAAGGACAACGCGGAACTGTCAAACGTGAATGTGTTCGTTCAACAGGTGGGTGTGGGTGGCTTGTGCAGACAGTGTTGGACAATGCGAAATATAAATTGTATGGAACTAGTGTATGTACCTACATAAATGCTAGTGCATCAACGAAAAGAAATAATTTAATTTAATCAAATTTTATTGAATTCAATATAAAAGAACAATTTTATAAATTTAATGATATTTTTCGAAAGTCGTATGAGAATTACACTGGTTTACAGCAAAAATGTTCTATTAATGTCACTATCCAATTCCTATGTAGAATTGCTCGGTGATTCCGAAAATCGATATATTTTTTTTTTTCCTATGTATAGCTTTTCGATATAGTGGAACCACACTTTTTTTAAGCTGAATAACGGTAAATTGCAAATATCTCGAAAAAGTAGCCATAAATCAACTCGATTTTTTGGCATCAGCGAGCGATTCTAGATACAAATTGGATAGTGGCGTCTGGAGAACAAAAACAAAATTAAAATTTGTGATCCAGTGTTATTAAAAAATATACTTTACAAAAAATACAATTAACTGTATTAAAACACATTCCACCCAATACAAAAAATGTTCGAATTGCGATATGCACATGTTTTTACATTTGATTTTATTTTTAATTTTACTCATTGTTTACATATTTCAATCATACACCTGGCCTCAGCAATATGTTTACATTTGTATACTAGATATTTTTGTTCAGACTATTTTACACGCGCCCAACAACACAATGTGCCTCATGAAGAAATTAAAATCTGGCTGCGAAATTGATGCGGACTTTTCAGGCACATTGTGGCGTGAAAATTTTTCAATAAAACTATAATTTTATTTTCAGTGCCGTCCACATTATTTATTAACATTATTTTTTAATATATGTATAGCTTAATTACTTTTTATTCTAACAAAAAATGCTTCATTCTACACTGGAATATTGCTTGGGAAAAGCTCATACTACTTACATATTTTATAGTTTTTAAGTTACACCACAGCTGAATCAGGGAAAAGTCTTGGCAATGCACTTTGTAGTGCAGTAAAAAAAAAAAATTGTTTAAACAGATTTATGAAGCCAGTAGTAGTGAGGTAAGTTGGCTTTGCCGTATTACGCTACAAAGCTTTTAGCAGCTGTGACATATATACTTAAACAAAAACCTATTTTAAGATCTTGTGCAGCTGATTCGAGTGCCTTTGTTATTTCTGCTCTGTTTCTGCTCTTTTTGTTGTATAGTATTTTTATATATGTAAGTTTTATGTTATCAATAACCGTTATATTTTACAAATTTTTTTTCATTTTGGTGTTTACTTACTTTTATGTACTTATAGTTACCTAACTCATAGCTATAGCTTATTCGATTTTATACGCAATCAAAAATAAATTTAAANCTTACTTATAACTACCTAATTCATAGCTATAGCTTATTCGATTTTATACGCAATCAAAAATAAATTTAAAAAAAAACGATTTTCAATCAAAATACGATACAAAAATTTAGTTGTAAGGGTTTTTGTGCAGCTCTAGCGGTCGAAAGAGTGAAAAATCAAAATCGCCGCGCAAAAAATCATATAAAAATATATTATACGTAATTTTCATGTTGCGTCTATAGTTATTGANACGATTTTCAATCAAAATACGAAAAAAAAAATTAGTTGTAAGCGGTTTTGTGCAGCTCTAGCGGTCGAAAGAGTGAAAAATCAAAATCGCCGCGCAAAAAATTATATAAAAATATATTATACGTAATTTTCATGTTGCGTCTATAGTTATTGACTAAAATCTAGCATCTAGCAGAGTAGTATTGCACAGCACTAAAATAATAATTTTTACAAACCTAAATTAAAAACAAAAAAAATCATACATACAAAATGCCTAACTGCATGATAAATATTTTCTTAACGCGCTAGTGTCGCACAACTCAGCTCAGAGCATTGTGCGCGCAACGCGCTCCGCTCGCGTTCACACCCGCCCCTCCTGCACCTGCTCGTACAGTGGCAACTTGACGGTTTCCACCTTGTCAACCACCTTGAACGAGGGGAAGAGTCCCACTTGATTTGTGCGCGTATTCTTGCCCTTCGAATAACCGTCCCAATGGTTGCCGGCCACGGCCACCAGGTCGCCTGGCTTCATGTGGATCTCGTCGTGATTGCGCGCCGGATGGCCTATGGCCACTTGTCGATTGTGCGAATTCTGCCCACCGTAGTAGTAGATATCGTCTAGCGATTTGAAGCGATGCGCCGCATCCGGGTACAGCGTTTGCATTATTTCGTAGGCCATGCGGCAGACCTGCGAGCTAAACGTGCACACCAGGTAGTCGGAGAGAGAGAGCAGATGTATGTCGAGTATGATGCCGTTGAGCGCGGTATCGGTGTAGCGCGTCGAGACGGCGGCCATGCGTGCCACCTCCGGGTCGCCTATGATCTCGTACTGGGGATACTTGTTGCGTGCCTCCTCGATGACGCGCGCGTCATCGGAAGCGAGGAATATGCGTCGCGGCACTGTAGTGGCGTTCATCTCCAAGGTTAGGAAGTAGTCCTCGACGTGTGTCATGTACTCCTCTATGCGATGGAAAGCCGCTTCGGTGCCAACTTTGTCGGTGCGACGCACGTGAACGCTAACAATTAAAGGTTAGGAAAGTTAATTGGAATTTCGTGTCTTATTTTTAATGCAATTTCGCCTACCCGACAATGGGCTTCTTCCAACCCAATTTCGCACGACCTGCATCGAGGAACTCCAGCGTGCCTCTTTGCGGACGCAGCAAGTACTTCAAAAACTGTCCGATCCACCACACAATCGGATCGCCGTGCAGACGCTTAAGTCGCGGCGCCAAGTCCTCAGGTATAGCTAGCGGCAGGAAGGGCGGACGCGGCATTAGCGAGTCAATGATCGGCAACACCAGCACCGGCATATCATGCCGCCCAGGCCAGTTGCTGGCGTGCGCGGCGTCCGCCTCCAGGCAAGTCTCGGACACCGGCAGGAAAACCTCCTCCCAGCCGCCTTTATGGTAGCGCCAGCCCCGCGACTTCAAGATCATTGTGCGCTCCGTCGCGTAGGCCACTATGAAGCAGTAGACGACATGGTGCAACTGGCAGCCGTAGCCGCAGCCCTGCAAGGGGAACGCATTTAGATTTATCGCCAAAATAAAACAACAAAAGGCATTTCCCCTCCGGCACTCACCTTATTCAGTTTGCACACCAGCTTGCGCGCGTTGGCACAATCCTTCGGATTTTGCAGGTAGTGCAGCCGCCGCTGCATCAAATCACTCAAATCGCGCGCCTCTTGCTGACGCCACGCCTCGTAACCATCCACCTCCCGCAGGCGCTCCATGTCACTCAACAGTGAGCGCTTGTGTTCGGCGCCCAGTTGCAGCACTTCATTGATGTCCTGCGTTAATTCGGCCTGCGTTGGCGCGGCGCGCTTGCGCAGCTTACCCAACTCACTGCTAAAGTAGTTCCAAATCTCACCTATGTTCGACTGTATACGGCGACGTAGCAGCTCGTACTCCAGGCTGGGCTCGTGCGCGCTGCCAGCAGCTCGTTGAGCGCCCGCATTTGGAGCCGGCATGCCGCCGAAAGTGTCCGCATCAACGCCGTCACCGTCGCCGGCGCCCATGAAGTCAGCCAATGCGGCATCTTGGTTCTGTATGTTTATGGAGTTTTGCAAATTGAATTCGAGCTTTTCGATGAGACGCTGCGCCGACTGCTTGTCGATTTGGTCACTATGAGAAGGGTGAAGAAAAATTAAACGAAAATAAGAAATTAAATACGAGCTGCATATTTCTGTGTATTTATGTAGTATTAATGTGTATGGTATGTATGTGTGCTAATTTCTTTTCAAATGGTTGAACGCGCAATTAACTGTTCATTCAAAGCGTAAAAACATTAAAATATACACATTGTGTATGTACATATATGTATTTGTAAAGTGTCCACAGCAGATGTTTTTTTTTTAGAAGTCGTCACGCCGCTGGCCGCGCATCGACCGCTAAGCGTCAGTACACTAATCATCGCACATTTCACGCCACATACACACTTTGATCCCTTGTAATCCCTCGCTTTTACTCAAGCCCATATTTGAGTGAGTGCATGCCGTCCCTAAAATGACAAAAGCGCCACCGCAAGCGACGAGTAGTGGCGGAAACCCGGCATTGTTTGGTTGTACACGCAGCTGAATGAGCTGGGCGGAGTAGGACAGAGGGCAGCGGTAGAGCGCTGCTTAATGCACCCACAATAGGCACGCGTGCGACTGGCGATTGCATTCAGTTTGCCATTTGGCACGGCAAGACATTGTGGCATGGCTCCAGCGGCACGAACATTTAATTGTCGCATCTTTAGTTGCCCCTAAAGCAATTGTTGTTAGCACTTTCGAGCATTAGGGTTGCGTTTGTTAAATTTAACCAGAATTGCGAAAACTATATACGTGTGTGTGTTTTATCTAAATTTATGCCCATACATTTATCGATAATTATTATCGTTAAATTTATTGAAATATTCCTCGATATCCGTATTCATCGCTAACGTTATCGATATGCATATCTATTGTAATCGTTACCGATATATTCCTCAATATGGTTAAAATTCAAATTATCGATATATTTCAGTTGGTACCGTTTTCTTTCCCTTTCTCATTTTACCCATTTTACACTTACCTCGACAACTTCTCGATCATCTGACGCAGCTCCTCATTGCGTTGCTTCGAGTATTCGAGCAGCTGCAGCGCCTGATTGATGCGTTTCGCTGTTATCGTATCCGCGTCCGAATTCGGTTGCGCACTCAGCTTATTGACAAAAACGTAAACGAGCAGCGCCCAGGTGAGTACGAAGATGATGAGCGCGCGTATCCATGAGTTTGAGGTAGAACCAAAAAATTGCCGAAATAAGGACATCTGGGTGAGAGTTCGATCCGCTGAATTTATTTACGCCAAAAATTAGAGAAAAAATTTCCACTACCGATGCAGTTATTTGCAATTTGTGGCTGTTAGTTAAAAATTATTTTGCATGCGTATTCCAGCTGGAGTTAAAGTATAGCCAAAGTATGCACCGGATGCCCCTCTAACAACGACTGCTATATTCCTCTTTGGAATCTGTCTGGTCCATATCGGGAGGTAGTCGATGTTTTGAGCTATCAAAAAACAAGTACATATGTAGATTTTAACTAATAAACTACGTAAATGAAATATGTATAAAATATAATTTAGATTATCGTTAGCAAAGTGAAGGTTGTTTTAGTTTTAATACACATTATAATTTGATTTAAAAATAAATTTTTTAATAAATTCTATTAAACAAAATATGAGTTTCTTTTTATGTGTTGGTTTTAGATTTAAAAGAAGCGGCACAACATACAGCTACTGGCGTATGTAGTCGAGGTCAGCTAACGGAAGACCCAGGAGCGCCCCTCTTTAGTTCAGTGGGGTTTAGGGGGCATGTGAAGAGGTGTTTTTAGTCATGAGGTGACTCAGGTAGGAGTTTAGCGAAGTGGGGCTACGGAGGTGCGAGTCTGCCGAGGCTGACGAGCTCTATCTCGCCCACGTCACGTTGCTCTGTTGCAAGGACGGCATTCACAGGTCGGGAATGGGTGTTTATTGCCGGTGACAACGCCGTCGGGTCCAAAGGTGGTTTTATGAACCTCTGTAATTCGTCCGTTAGTTTGTTCTGACGTGCGTAGGCCAGGGCTCTTCGGCAAGCAGTTGTCTTTTCGGGTGCCAACGTCTGTGGCACCCTACAAGGAATTCCTTATATAGAATTGTGTTATGCTCCCTGACAGGGAGCATTTTTGCTCTCTCATGTAGGCAATGTTGTGGCGACATCAGAAGACATCTTGTGGGTGTCCTTAGCGCCGTATTTTGGCAAGTCTGTAGTTTCGTCCTTTGCGTCCTGCTAGTCCCCGGCGACCACACGGTCGCTGCCCTGCCTTGTATGTTGCCAGCAACGTTTCTTTGCCTCTGACCCAGCTGCTGCCGGCTAGCGACTTGAGGACCTTGTTGCAGCTTTGTGCTCTATTGATAATTGCGGTTGTATCCGCCTAGCAGGAGATCAGACTATCGAAAGTAGCTCTGAGTATTTTATGANGCCCTGCCTTGTATGTTGCCAGCAACGTTTCTTTGCCTCTGACCCAGCTGCCGCCTAGCAGGAGATCAGACTATCGAAAGTAGCTCTGAGTATTTTATGATTATTCGCACTCGGATATGATACGCCATCGACGTGGATTCCAGGCTGTATTCCGACCTCCTTCTTCCAGATCGTAAAAAGGGTTATGGAGGAGTTTGCAGTGCTCCTTGTTCGAAGAGGTAGTGAAGAACTTTGTCTACCTAAGGTCAGCCCGGAGATAAGCGACGAACAACTCTTGCAAACAGGTGCTACTTTGTGCTCGGCAGGCACAGCCCTCTTTCGACGAATAAGAACCACGTTCTACAAGCCTGTCGCCCTGTCCGTCTTTTTCTGTACCGCAGAAACAGGGGCGATGTCGGACAAAGATGACAAGGTTTTGGGGGCTTTCGAGAGAACTGTTCAATGCAAGATCTACGGGCCTGTTTGCATGGGTGACGAGTACCGAATAAGATGGAATGACGAACTGTACAAGCTTTTTTACGACATGGACATGAAAAGATCCTTCGACTCAGCACGCATGGGTGGACAAAGCAAGGGCGCTCACGATCACAATGGAAATTGGGTTGAACAACTGGCGCAAATTCGCGAAGGACAGAGGTAACTAGCAAGGCTTTTTGGTCTCGGCCCAAAGCAACAAACGGTTGCAGTGCCAAATAAGATTAAGAAGGCGTTTCTTAGTTTCAGCGTTAACTCAAAACAAAAAAAAAAAAAACATTAACCGTTTCAACCGATTTTAACCGTTTGCTCAATTTCCACTCGGCTTACAACATTTGCCGCTGTTTTTCTCAATTCACACTTCAATGCAGAAATATATTAACCGATTCGCCCGATTTTAACCGTTTCACCCGATTTAAGCATTTAAAACCAGTTTACAGTTAATATTATTTTGCACACACCTACATTTCTGCATATCAACACTCATTTTCCGGTTTGATGCCTTGAACATTTTTCTTGTTTATTTAAATATCTATAGATTATCTCTTTGCCGTTGAGAAGTAGCCATATCATATTCAAATATGATTTGAGTGGCGCAGTACATACATACCAAATTTTTTTTTGTTTGTTTTATACCACTTGCTCTTAGTTTTAAATGCAAGTAAACCTTTTCATTTCTTTTCCAGCGCCCCCCTGGTATTTGTGGTTTATGGATTATTATGATAAGCGCTGACTAGAGCAACACGCCTCCATTTAGTTACGTGCGGCGCGCTACATACATACATGCATACATATGTATGTAAATCCCCCTACTAAGTCCAAGCTATTGTTACTATATTTTATTTGGGTGAGTAGCGAAGAAAAAATTAAAGAGAAAAGAAAGGATACATACATACATAAATAAAAAAATTGCGCGTGTCACATACACGTTACACTATGCTGTTAAAAAATAAATAAAATACCACAAATATACATATGTACATAGATATTCCGCACACTGTCGTTATATTTGTACTGATATTTCCACTGAAACCACAATTTATTTATTGTATTTTTGCTTTTGTGTTTCCAGCAGCCGCCCCACACATTTTTTTATTGCCGCAATCAAAATTTAATCTTTTTCATACCAGATTTTATTTGAAATTCCAATAATTTTATTTATTTATGTACATATTTAAGTATGTGTGCACGTCGCGCATCATTAAGCGAACCACTGCCAAGTTCTAATATGCATGTGCGTTTGTCTGTATGTACATATGTATGTATGTAGTATTTCGAAAAAAAATGTAAATAAAATAAAAAACCATGAAATAGCCCAAATTAAAAGAAAAAAAACAATCATAACCACTCGTACATCTATTGAGCGCACTCGAGCACAATGAGCCAATATTGCGGAGCGCTGAGCGGCTTGTGGGCGCTTCATTGACAGCTGGCGTTCACAGGGCAGATGCGTTTGCCATTGTAGTACACATTTATGTATATCATTTATTTATGTATATATGTGCATACATACAAATATATATATATATAAATATATATGTACATACACATTTAAATAAATTGGCATAAAAGGTGTTGTTGTGTGTTAAAGCGCTGCCAGTTGGCTGCTGGAGTAGATAGGGGAGTCGGGGGGCGGCAGTGGTGAAAGCAGCAGCAGCAGGCGCAAGTGAATTTCGTTCACCAAATCACTAACAGAGAACATACTATAATTATTATTATAAGTACAATTATGTATTATTATAAGTTCTCTGTCACTAGCGCAAAGCAAAAAGTTTTCGTTTCGTTTTTCTCTCGCTCCGAACTTTTTCTTCAATGCGCGGCGACACGAAATATTTTCGATTTCATTTGCACGGTTGTTGAAATTAACTTTTTTGTCTATTATTTCTTCTCAGTATTTATTAATGTATATTCAACACTTTCTGTTGAAATGCTTACATTTCTGCTTTTTCTTTTATTTCCAATTCTATTTGCGTTTTTGGTTTTTGCCTTTAGCAATTCTTGTTGATATACAATTTTGCTGCAGCAGCAAATTTACTTGCAGATATTTTCTATATACATACATATATATTGCCACTACGCCGTGCACTGCGCACTCAAAAACGACACATTCTCACTTGAGCGACTTTGCTTATCCACTGAATGGCTATCACGGCTACAGGCTGGCGCAAAAGCGTGTATTGTATATTTAGTAGCTCGCTAATAGAGTTCTTTGTTAGTAGTGCAGCATTTGCTAGTATGTACAATGTAATTTCACTCAATTGTAGAGTTGCCAAGCGTGCCGTTTACCGGTTAGCAAAAATTTAGATTTCAACGGTAATGGAAAATTGGAGATCTGGGTATGTAGGTCATCACATATGTACATATGTACAATCGCCACTGGTTATCGAACATCAGCCGCTTTTGTCAGTTTTGAAAGGCTTCTTGCGAGCCTGTAGATTGCTTTGCTGTGAACCCTTTTAACAAAATATAATTTCCAAACTTAGCTCTGCTTATTATGGAACGCTCCTTATTTTTAAATGTCGAACAAATTTTGGCTACAACAAAAGTATTGCTAACAAGCGACCGCTAGTCAGAAACAGGGTTATTCATTAAAAATGTACTTTCATACATATCCACACATACTACGTACATATCTACAAACACACAAGCATACCAGCGCACTTTTCAATTCACACATCGTACAATTTCCGCATGCGATAACAACAAAAGCAAAACTTACTTATACGACAAGCTACAATACAACCATAATCACGGGGGTAGTTTCTTTCTGCGTCCTCCTGCTTTCCACTTTCCACACATCAAGCATTCGCTTTGTACTCCGCGCTTGATCCCTCGCATCTAATTTATCATCACACTTGCTTTGCCTGTTTTACTTAGTTCTTCACTTATGCACATACCTGCCTTGTATTTTATTTTTATGTAAACATATGTAATTATTTTATTTTATTTTTATATATGTATGTATGTATGTATGTTTTTTGTGTAAACAACAACAATGTGCAGTGTTGCCGGATACTAACAAAAGTTTTCTGCTATGTGTATAGCAACAGCAACATAGTTGCTACCTGCCACAAATCTACGCTGTCTTTCATCCTCTAGCGCTTCAGTTCCCTTAGCAATGGTGTTTTGCCGGCTTCGGCTTACACACACGCTCATACATCCGCATGGTTGAATATAATTACATACATACCTATTTCTTTCGATTTTATTCATATGCATCGGCAGTAAGCCGATGTGAATCGTCGTTGGCCATTTTGAATGTAGCTAAAATACATTTCTATGTAGGAAAATTAATACCCCAACGTAATCAGAAACTTTCACGTATGTACACAATTGNACACACACACGTACATATCTACAAACACACCAGCCGACCAGCGCACTTTTCAATTCACACATCGTACAATTTCCGCATGCGATAACAACAAAAGCAAAACTTACTTATACGACAAACTAAAATACAACCATAATCACGGGGGTAGTTTCTTTCTGCGTCCTCCTGCTTTCCACTTTCCACACATCAACCATTCGCTTTGTACTCCGCGCTTGATCCCTCGCATCTAATTTATCATCACACTTGCTTTGCCTGTTTTACTTAGTTCTTCACTTATGCACATACCTGCCTTGTATTTTATTTTTATGTAAACATATGTAATTATTTTATTTTATTTTTTTATATGTATGTATGTATGTTTTTTGTGTAAACAACAACAATGTTCAGTGTTGCCGGATACTAACAAAAGTTGTCTGCTATGTGTATAGCAACAGCAACATAGTTGCTACCTGCCACAAATCTACGCTGTCTTTCATCCTCTAGCGCTTCAGTTCCCTTAGCAATGGTGTTTTGCCGGCTTCGGCTTACACACACGCTCATACATCCGCATGGTTGAATATAATTACATACATACCTATTTCTTTCGATTTTATTCATATGCATCGGCCGTAAGCCGATGTGAATCGTCGTTGGCCATTTTGAATGTAGCTAAAATACATTTCTATGTAGGAAAATTAATACCCCAACGTAAGCAGAAACTTTCACGTATGTACACAATTGTATAGTATGCGGAATTTAAATTCTCTGTCAGTAATTTTTACTTTACAAGTTAAAACACTGTGCTTTGCGGAAGTTGGCAAATATTTGCCACTACGGAAAGTTTGGATATTGCCATTTTTTTGTAAAAGCTGCAGTTACTCGTTGACAAAACTAGCGAGTGATCCGAAGGAAATTGAAACGAATGCGCCATTTTCGAATGTGGCGGAACGTATGAACGCCATTTTGATTTGCGTATAAAACGAAAGTGAAGCAAGGCTGTATATACATATGCATATATTTTTCTTGATTAACTTAAGAATGTAAATTCCTTTCGTTTGATATTTTTTTAGTTAAATTTTATAACAATTATAAAGAGCACAAACTTCAGTTCCCACGACAGTCCTGTAGACGTAACCGGAACGACCCAGATTTATATCAGACCAAGCACTGCCACTCCAACAACACTCCGCATAAAACTCTTTGGGGAATCTTTGTGCTGTTACAACAAAAACAGCAGTCCAAACTTCCAAGTCACCACGAAGTCAAGCCTCCTACATATTTTTGACGTAGGCTATATCCTTGTAATTGGCAATGAACATAGGCATTTTAGATGACATTTCCATACTTACTTTTCAAAGAAATTGTCCCTTAATAGATTTCCTCCGAGATGCATACGCATAAGCAAATTTAATTTAAGCAGTTAAGTCTCGTTTAAATTCTTTTTTTTTAGTTTTTGTTTATTTGTATTACTTTTTATAGTCATTTGCGTGTTTACATACCGTTGCTGTTGCAATTATGTACTCATTTTACTTTGCATCCTCGACAACAACCATCAAATCTTGTGGTCACCTGACGACATTTATTTTCAACTCGGAATCGTTAACATGTTGCCTTGTTAAACTCAGCCCTGTTTTATATGCTACAATTTATGTATGTTGCCCTTTTGATTTTTTCACTACAAAAATTTTATTACCTATATTTTATACCTTTAAATTTATTTTGGGTTTTTTGTCAGTTTTTTCACGCTTTTAATATATGTATGTATGTATGTATATAAGGATTTCTATAACTACGTGTACCTTAAATTAAGTTTTTTTTTCGATTTGCCTGGTTTAATCATCCTTATAGCCAATTCCATGTGAATAATTCATAACTAACCAAAGATGAAAGCAATCTCGTGTCTCAAATCTTCTTCGACCTAATTCGCTGTAGTCATGCATGAAGAGTTCCCACGACAGTCGGGTCTACGTAACCGGAACGACCCAGATTTACGTACAAATGTATATCTGGACAAGGACGGGCACTCCAGCATCACTCCCCAAAAACTCCGGGGAGCTTGAATGATGTTACAACAACAACGCCACGTTAGTAGCGTGTTAGATGTACCCCTTTCATTTATCCATTAAAAATTTTAGATAAAATAAAGGCCATGTGAAATATAAACGAAAATTAAAAAAAAAAAAAAAAATCGAAATTATATTTGTGCAACTTTCGTGCTAAATTTGTTTGCTTCAAAAAGCACTGATCCATCCATTGCAATGCCCACTATCAACGTTTGCTGATACTACCTGTCCAATATGCCTTAGACTGCATACAGAATCGTATCTTAGCTAACGTCAAAAATAACTTGCACAGTTCGCATAAAACTGTCCTAGCTGCATTTTTTGGGTTTCTATTCGAATTCGACATGACAGCTAAATGGATATATTAAAATGGTAATCGCTTGAAAGCGCCCGAAATACTTGGCTAACCATCTATTAATTTATCAGGTGCTGGTTTCAGAAGGCATTTTCCATCAATGAAATGGTACTTTTCGTTCCAGCTATGTGTCAGCACTACTCAGCTGTTTGTTGTTGTATTCACCATTGCTTCGCCGCTGCCAAATCGCGTCCATTTGTACCCAGTTCCACGGTTGCCACACACTTGGACAAAATGTCACCAACAATTTTAAAAAGATAACCCAAAGTACTAAAAACCTTTTCTTTCTTTTAACATACACAATGGGCGTTACTTACACCTTCGAGATTGTATTAAAGTTGCCTAGAGGTTTACATAGGTATGTATGTACATACATGATTTCTGCCTTTTCCGAATCGATTAAACACACTTTTTGAAAAATCGTAAACTTAAGTGTCAACGTACCAATTCTGGTAACATTTTACTAGATTGGCAACCGTGCCCAGTTCGTCTGAAATCGTTGACATGGCAAGATTCGGCTGTGTTCGGTTGTTCGCCGTATTATTTGCGGCCATTTCGTTTCAGGGTTGCAATGCAGTTTCGAAGCAAATGGGAACGGCTTGTGAACTATGCTCCGCACAGTGACCATTTCGACCTTTTCTGTAGTCAATCTGTCTAAAGTTTCAGCAATGACGATCAACGCAAAATCGATATCTTCTAGTTTCAAGATAAATATGTCAATATACATATGTATGAATGTACTATATATGTATACTTCGTGTATACGTATGTATGGGGTAATGTAAATTATATATCCCTAATCAAAAATATGCCATATGTCAGTGTACAAATACATATGTAACTCCACAGTGCATTCTTTGTAATTGGGTAATGCCAACGACAGCGAAAATCGGAATTGCTCATGGAAAAAACCCGTACGGCCCTCAGCGACCAAAGCCGTTTGGCTGTGAACGTGTATCAAGCAACAATACAACCGTGCGTTTGCTGCAAATAGCAGCAAGGCAACAACAATCGTGTGTGGTGGAGCGGAAATGAGTGTTGCCAGAATATTTTCGTAAACAAATCTTTCAAGTGAAGATTAATATTTCAAAAATCTAAAAAATTCTTGAAAAAATTCTGTCAAATAAATCTCTTTTTTGAAGATTTAAAAAATATTTTTTTGCTGGCCAGTTAATTCTTCTTATAAAGAATTAGGAAGTAACTTTAAATT